CTCGCTGCTGGCCGCAACCTGAAACCGACGTTACAAACGTCCTGCGAAGGCGCCCCTCCCGGCGTCGTAATCCTCCCTCATCCGGTCCGATACCCGGCGATGAGCTGCCCATCCACCACCACCTGCGACAGGCGGCTGGGAACCGGCAACGGCCGCACGGGCAGTAGTCATGTCGGCGCCGCCCTCCATGCTCCGTGCGGGTGGCGGAGGCATCGATCCGGCAGATCCGCCGCCGTCACTGTGGCGGCCCGACCCCCCATCAACCGGCTCAGACTCCCTCCCTCTAATGCCGCTGAGCGAAGAACCTGACCATCTAGGGCTATCCACGATGTACGGCGGAGGCGAATACGCCCCTCCAGGAGGGCGCCTCTCGTCGCTCCTGCGGCCCGTGTGGGGGAAAGGGTCATGTGAACCGAGTCGCGCCAAATCCTCGGCATCAAAACCAGCCTGAGAGAAGGCCTCGGGCCGTGTGAGAGGTAGTGTAGGCACTGACGGGTCCCTCAATACCAAAGCCAGCCTACCCTCATCGCCGTGGTCGCCGTCGTGGTCGCCGTCGTTGCCGTCGTCGTCGTGGTCACCGTCGTAGTCGCCGTCGTCGTCGTTGCCGCCGTTGTCACCGTGGTCGTCTCCGTTGTTGGACCCCTCCTCACCCTCGTCCTCGTCGCTGCCACCATCTCCCTCAACACCGTGGCTACACCATCTCCCTCAACACCCATGGGCACACCCTGTCGGGCCGCCCCCGCATCAGCCTCCCCACCAAAACCCACGTCGCCTCCGTCACCGCCGCCACCCCTCCCTGTCTCCAACTCCCTCCGTCAGCGCTGCTCCTCCATATACGCGAAATGACCCTCCCATCCCGGCAAAGTCCGGAGCCGCTCCTCCTCCTCTCTGTCCAGTCGGGCATCCCGCTCCTCCACGGTCTCTACATGGCCCCGCACATCAGAATCGTCGAGGAGCACGTCCGACAGTGAGGCACCCCGCTGTCTCGGGGCACTGAGATCCCCCAAACCCCCGCCAGAGCCGCCGACGTAGAAGTCGTCGGTGCGCAGCTCGGACGGCGAGCGGTGGCGGACACCGGCGCCGGATGGAGTCATCTCCATCTCCTGAATGTCCCCAAGCGTGGTCCCCTCATGGTGCTCGGTCGCTGGTGTCTGCTGTCTCTCCGCTGCCGATGCCGACCTCGTCCTCGGCCCTGTAGGCTCGAGCGCTCCCGTGGTCCGATGATGAGAGGGAGAGAACCGACGATCCCGAAGGCGCGCCTCCTCCTCCTCCTCCGCCCCCTCCGGCTCGCTATCGCTCCTGACCTCCCAACGTCTGCCCGTCTACCGAAGGCCTCCGACTGGCTCCTGCTCCTCCACGTGCTCGTCGGCACGCGGTCGTTGTCGACGACAACCACCGGCTCTGCCAGTGCCACTGGCCTGACCACTGGACGACACATCGTCAGTGATGACGGATGTCTGTGGAGTCATGACGGATATCTGTGGAGTCATGCCGTCAGGTCCTCCGCCGTACGTGAAATAGACCCGCTCCGTCCTCGTGTCGCCGCTGACGGGAGCGTCGTCATCGTTCGTTCACTCGTCGTCCGACGTGTCGCCGTCCACATCAGCGTCCGACGTCTGCTCCGGCCACGACCGTAGCTCCACCGCCCTCTTGCCGAACACGTCCTGTACCGGGTCGGCTCTGGACGGTCGACAAGCATGGAAAGCGACGACCTGGTGCTCGATGTCGTGCTCGCTAAAACTGCCAGCAGGTCGCGCTAGCCTCACCTTGGGGTCCACGTCCTCCTCGTCGTCCTCCTGCCCTCCCGCGGTCTCCGCCTGACCGGTCCCCATAACCTAGGGCAACATGTAGCCACTACCCTGCTGTGCGCATCCGGCCAGTTTGAGATTGGTGGCAATCTCAACCAGTTGTGCAAGCTTGGCAAAGCCAAGCTTGTAGCGCCTCGCCGTGTTGATGCGCTCGTGCTGCGCCCATATCCTGTCCGCAGGAGAGGCGGAAGTCCACAAGTGCATCACACGGATGGCGATGGTGCGCAACTCAGGGTGATGACGTCCGTGATCAAACCACCACTGGGCATAATGCTCAGTCTCGCAGTCCCCCCGACAGTTGTCAGCCTCGACATCAGACAACCGTCGATCTCCCCAATCTCCCTGCCGTGAGTGGAAATGCCTTATCTGGTCACAGACTGTCCTGTATCGTCTGGCGACTGGATCGCCGCCAACAGCCATTTCGTCAAAACGGACATATTATATTTTTTGAACGTAATCAAAAGTGACTTTTTTGGCCAAAATCCGGTCGGAATTTTTAGCTCCTGCTTTCCGAGAACGCCGGACCCCCTATATGTATCTGGTCTCAAGCAGAGACCAGATACATGTAGGGGGTCTGGCGTTCTGAAAACGCCGGACCCCCAAGAGCCAAAAATTCCGATCGGATTTTGGCAAAAAAAAGTCAGTTTTGATTTCGTTCAAAAAATATAATATGTCCGTTTTGATGAAACGGTTGTTCGCCAGTGTGTGTGAGCAGGAATCTGTCGCACTCCTCGACAACACGGGCGTCCTCGGTAATCGTCTGCAACGACTCACAACAGAAAAATTCCCAGGAGAAATGAAAGCTCAAAAAATATTCTATAAAAAAAAAATCCTTCATATTTATAAATTATCATTCCAATGTTCGTCCAATTCTAAAATTTCCAGTTTTATTTGATAAGTTCCCGTCTAAATATGAGTTTTCCCTTCCAACTACAGCTATTTGTTCAAGATGGAATGAAAGTCTAGACGAGTTTATGAAATGTTTTAATTAAATTTTAATTTTACTACAACAAATATCTTCTAATTTAGATTGGATTAAACCATTTATGACTGAAAATCCTTACTTAGAATGACAGTCCAAATTTAGATTGGATTAAACCATTTATGACTGAAAATCCTTACTTAGAATGACAGTCCAATTAAAATATTTCATGAACTCATCCAGACTTCCATTCCATCTCTGACATGCAGTCCAAATAAAGAGCGATACCCTATTCTTGGAATGAAAGTTTGCAAGTAAGATGAAAAAATTTAAAATTGGAATGACATTTTTTAAGATGGAATGAAAATTTTAAATTAAGATTGTAATTTTACTATAGAATGATTATTCAATTCTGGGAAATTTTTCCGTTGCATAATATCGGAGGGACCGGGGCGAGGGTTGAGGAGGTGTGCCGCCGCATGTGCGGGCAAGAACATGTGGAGGTTGCGGACGACAACCTCTCGCACGCACGGCTCGACCATGTCCGCCGACACATCCACCCTCCTCATCAATTCCAGAAGATGCTGACTCCACTCGTAAACGATGGACATCATCATCCCCCCTCTATCCATCCTCCTCAAGAGCTGGTGGATGGGCGACATAACACGGATGGCACAGTCAACGCATCGCCAGAACTCGTCATCGCGGATCTGCTGCTGAACCCAGTGTGCCTGGGAGACAAGTTTGCGCTCCCACGGGATGCGAGCCCACGCGTCGTCGTGCAGCATGCTCTCTAATGCATCCTGCCGGCCTTTGAGACACGTCAGCATCAGAAAAACTGATGCAAACCGGGTCTCAACGGGCTCAACCAGCGTGACACGAGGGCTCATCCTCCTGAAAAGGGCGAACGCAGCGCCGTGCGATTTAATAAATCGTACTAACGCTCGGGCACGGATGATGGTATACTTGACCCACGCCACTCGCGTCCCGACGTCTGACAACATCAAGTTGCAGACGTGGGTGGAGGAGGCAAGCCAAGTGATCCTCCTGATCAATAGAAAAATTCCCATGAGAAATGAAACTTGAAAAAACATTCCATAAAAAAAAAATCCTTCATATTGATAAATAATAATTCCAATGTTCGTCCAATTCTAAAATTTTCAGTTTTATTTGACAAGTTCCAATTTAAAGAAGAGTTTTCCCTTCCAACTACATCTATTCGTTCAAGATGGAATGAAAGTCTGGACGAGTTTATGAAAAATTTTAATTAAACTTTCATTTTTTTACAAGAAATATCTTCTAATTTGGATTGGATTAACCTATTTATGACTGAAAATCATTACTTAGAATGACAGTCACATTAAAATATTTCATGAACTCATCCAGACTTTCATTCCATCTCTAGCATGCATTTCAAATAAGAAGGAATACCCCATTCTTGGAAGGAAAGTTTTCAAGTAAGACGAAAAAAAAAAAATTGGAATGACATTTTTTAAGATGGAATGAAAATTTAAAATTTAGAATGTAATTTTATTATAAAATGATTATTTAATTCTGAGAAATTTTTCTGTTGATGTCTGCGTCGGGGTCGGTGGCGAATCTGCAGGCCGCCGCCGTATAGTTACTGGCGGAGTCCGTGTAGAAGCCGATCACGTCCTTTGAGGAAAGTACAAGATGATGGCGCGCCATCTGCGGTACACGATATCCGCAGTGTCGCGGACAGACCCGTCACGTGCGACGGTGGCGTACAGCAGGGCGTCGTCGGCACCCCCTGCCAGGAAGTTCACGAGCGGCTTGCCGCTTCGCGACTTCCTCCCGTCCGAGAGGATGGTGGCACCGGTGTGCCGGAAAGCAGAGCGCACCTCGCTCACCATCAACGCCACCTTCCCCCTCTCTGAAGGGATCCCGGTGCCCGCTGTGACCCTGTACGAGGGAAACCGGAAATGAACTGTCCGCGGCACTCTCTCTGCCGCCCGCCGAACCGTTTGGAACTCCGGACCTCGGAAGGCGTTGAATGTCAACCCCTTCGCGTAGATCCACTGCACCCACGAGTCATGGAACTCGGCCAACTTCTCCTTGTCGTACATCTCGTCGATCGTCGTCTGCCGAGCCCTCTTCTCCCTGGCCGCCTCTCGCACCTCGACGTTGCCCTCCCCCACCGGCCTCTTCTCCCTCCTCGTGCGCTCCAACTCAGGTCGTGGACTCGTGGCGCCCTAGGAGCGGGACCCGCTCGACCGACGCCTCTCGACGTCATCAACACCTCCTCCCCTGGCAGGTCAGGGTCTCCGACTGCCTCGTCAGCCTTCCTCCCCTCCCCAACCCCACCCTCGAGACCCTCCTCCTCCTCCTCATCAAGGGCATCCTTAACATCGTCCCTCTCTCCCTCGTCCATTCGCTATTGCTGCCCACCCGTAGCCGCTCTTGTGTCCCGTACCCCCTCGTCAGCCATCCACCTCTGCACCCGCCGAGCAGTCGCGGGCTTAAATGTGTAGTTCGTGTCGTTCCATAATTCCGCGAGAACTCTCATCCCCGCAGCCTTGCAGTACTTGGCCTGTGTAAAATGGCGCGCAGCCTTCCCCGCATTTCCCTGAAACAAGTGGCCGCAAAAGTTGCAACGCAACTTTCGGTCCCCATGCATCTTCGCCTGGTTCCCCACATGATGTCCCGCGGTGATGAAGTTCCAAACCACGTTCCCCTGCCTCAACTTCGCCATCTCCCTCTCAGACTTTGCGATGACCCCCCACCCGCAGACCCCCCCGTACCGCTGGTCGCCGCACCCCCCGTCATCGTCCCCTAACTCAAAGCGTCGCAGTTGTCGTGTCGTCCGTCCATGGCGTCCTTCCCGACGCTCCCTCGATGAATGGCCCCGATGCTGCTGCAGCCTCCGCGGGCCCAGATGTCGCAGCTCCCCTCGGTCCTGCCGGACCCGGCCGTTGTCCGCCCTTCCAGGCCGTTCTAGCACCCGGCCGCGGCCGGGCACTAAAATCACCGCGCGCGTAAAAAGGCCGCGCGGCGATGGTGGCCGCCCATGACCTCGCGCTGGGCGATGGCAGCGCAGCGGCGGCGGCCTCCTGCGATCGTGCAACCCGGCCCCGCGCAAAGAAGAAGAAGAAGAAGAAGAAGAAGAAGAAGAAGAAGAAGAAGAAGAAGAAGAAGAAGACGAAGAAGAAGAAGAAGAAGAGGGAGAAGATCTCTCTGTCTCTATCTCTCTCTCTCTCACGCCCGCGCGCGCGCCGTAGCGATATCTTCAGCGCAGCAGGTAGTAACCCAATCTTGTCTCTCTCTCTCTCTCTCTCTCTCTCTCTCTCTCTCTCTCTCTCTCTCTCTCTCTCTC